CAGATCTTCAGACCGAAGGGGCCAAGTTTCGCTACCATAGAGCAGCACGGCTCTCACTGTGGCCTAGTATACTCGAGCTTTCGGACGGAGGGAAACCCCTTCTGTCGCCAAAGATGCCGCAGGTTCAAGAAGGCAGCTCTGGCCTTTACAATGCGTGAACTGACGTCAGTTTCTATGCGCCCATCATTGCTGATGCAGCTGCCAAGAGAAGTGAAATGATCAACCACCTCGAGTTCCTCGTTAGCAAGCGTCAAGGGGTCATCAAGTGGCTGGTGGTGCTGCAGCAACACTTTGCACTTTGAAGGTGCGAAGTGCATACCAAATAATGGGACCACTCTGGCTAGGCTATTCAGGGTTGATTGTGCCGCCTCAACATTGTCGAAATGCACATTCGTAGCACAAGGGCATGCTTCAGCTCATGAGGCACCTCTTGCACAATCCACACGCGTTGCACGAAGTGGTGCAGCGCAGTCAACAACGCGGGTCCGCCGTGTTTCAATACTTCAGGCGGGACCCGTCGGCTCCGGCACATTTACCGTTTCGCAGCTGAGCAAGTGCTCTCTGCGTCTCATCCAGTGTCGGCGCGTCCGCCAGACTCGTCTTCACATCGTGCTGCTTCAGGCAGTTCAATGTAGGCCAGTCGATCTCTGAACGATTGTTCAAGAGACAGTCAAAGTGTTTTCGCCAGATCTGCATTATGTCTGCAGTCTGGGTGCAGGTAGCGCCTGAACTACCATCGATCAGTGTCCTCAGCGGCTCCAATCTCGGTCCATACACCACCTTCAAGGAGTCAAAGAATTCCTTGTGTTGGCGGCGTTCGGCGTAGCATTCCATTTGCTTCGCCTTCTCCGTCCACCATGCATTTTTTATGCGACGGAGCTCTCGGGTCAGTCGCCGTCGAAGTTTGCGAAACTGACTACGCTTCCCCAAGTCACTGAGGTCTGCCACATGTGCAGCAAGTGCTGCATTCTTCCCCGACACCAATGCGCCAATCGTCGCATTGTTCTCATCAAACCAATCAAGCCGCTTACAGTTTGTGCGCCCGATCGTCTCCTCGGCAGCAGCTGTCACCTGGTCGCGAATGTGGTGCCACAAGTCGACCACTGTGGCTATGCCTTCCACATCACACAGGCGTGCAGCCGTCGCCTTCTACAGCTTAGTACGTTTCGCCAGTACCGAGGGAGAGAATGTTAAATTTCCGCCGGTTCACGGTGGGAGTGCAATACATAGATTTACGAAAATATATGTACAGTTTGGTCCTCACCCATTTGTGATCCGTGCCACACTCAGCTCCACTCAGTACACGTGTCATGCGCACTTCACGCATATCACGCTGACGTACGATGACCTAGTCGAGCAGGTGAGCGTGACCACTCCGTGGGTGCGTCCAAGTTGCTATATCACTCGCACTCAGTGCAAACCGAGTGTTCGTGATCGTCAGGCCGTGAGTGGCACACAGTGAGAGCAGCCTGTCACCGTCCGCATTCGCTGAACCCATGCCTTGCAGACCGATTACATCTGTCCACACTGATGCATCACGCCCAATGCGTGCGCTGAAATCACCCAGCAGAAATAGTCGGTCGCTCCTCGGCACAGACCGTATCACGGAGGATAGCTCAGTGTAGAATTGATCACTCGTGTCATCAGGATAACACATGGTCGGACCGTACATGCTTATAAAAGTGGCAAACTTACCTCTTCCGAGTCGTAGGCGAACAGTCATCAGTCGCGCGCTAATGCCTGTTGGTTCACCCACCAGCTGGCCATGGAGGCGATCGGATATTGCAAATCCGACCCCATGATCACGTGGTGCTGATGCGGCGTTGCCCACCCAGTAGAATGGGTAGCCAGCACCTGCTTCATACAACTTACCTTGCTCAGCGAGCCGGATTTCACTGAGCGCCGCAATATCGATGTGGTGGCGCGCCAGTTCCATCGCGACGAGTGCAGTGCGTCGTTCAGGGCGCTCGCTGGAGTTCCGGTCCAGTAGCGTCCGTACGTTCCAGCACCCGATGCTGAGTGCTTTGAGCGCAGACATACGATTGCATTGATGGGCAATCGCACGCGAGGTTGTCGTTGTGCTTCGGAGGTTTGCTTGAGGGACTCCACCCGGAGCTTTTGGCTCAGTATCATTATACACGTTAACTGGAGGTGGGGAACACCTCAGCTACTGTGCCGCAATACACAGAAAAAGGGAGAGAAAAAAGAATTCAACAGAGGCAAGCCGGCTGAGCTACCGGTAACGGATGAGCATCATTCCGGTAAGCTACCAGCCGGCTACTATGCATCAAAAAATTACTATGCAAAATTATATAAGGTTAAATAACGAGATCGTGGTTTGGAGGCTAGACTAAGAGGGATGGGTGGGACAAAGAAACTCACAGCACGAACGCCACTGAGGCCGGCTCCTAGCCGTATCAGCAAGTGTGTCCAGTCAAACATGTTCACCGTCTTTTGGACTCCAACCAGGGAGCCGTGACGCTCCAACCGAGGCCAGCTCAGAAGTGAGGGCCTTCATTCCTTTGGACCAAGTCATCGCTTGGCCACCCTTCCTCTTCTTCCATCCACACCCCCGGCGCGCAAACAACGCACGTCGCGGGAGTCGGTAGGCTGGCATGCGTAACACGTGGCCGAGCCATCGGAGCCTGGTGCGTGATAAAACGGTGCTGAGCGGTTCAGTTCCTTTCCCTGTGCCATAAACAAGGCGTCGGACACGCTTGTTGCTCACGCGGTGTTCCCACCAGATGTGAACTAAATTACGAAGGCACCGGTGGTCGAACGTAATTAGCCTCTTCAGGTCCGCTGCTTTAAGCGGCCAGGTTTCACAACCGTACAGTAGGGTCGAACGTACTGCTGCATTGTACACTCTACCCTTCAGGGCAAGAGTGATGTCGCGCCGGCGACATAGGTGGCGAAGGTTAGCAAAAGCGCCCCGAGCTTTTGCTATACGGTTCGTGATCTCATCTTCAATCCCACGGGCGCTGATACAACTTCCCAGGTAGTTGAATTTTTGAACGATTTCTAGCTGATCTCCACCAAAGGTCAGCGTAGGGGGCGGTCCAGACCAATCTTGGAGGAACGCTTTGCACTTCGAGGGTGCGAAGCAAAGCCCGAAGTGACGGACAGCTAGTGCTAATCTGTCCAGTGCCGCTTGGCACATTTATGAGCTGTCACAGATTAGGGCAATATCATCAGCATACTCTCAATAGCCTGAACCACAAGGCGGTGGGGAGCAGATCCAGCTCGGGAATGTGATTGCATCGACAGATTGGGATCTGCTTGGCGGCCGTCACACGCAGCCTTGGAGGTACTGGAACGGTTTATATATGTCTTGCGACCGTAATAGGATACGCCTGCGACCACGGCCAGACGCAGGTTTGCACCAATTTGACCAGGGGCTGCCTGGCTTAAGGCGGGTAGTAGCAAACCATTGAACACCCGGAGGAGGAGAAGTTTTCCCGAGAAGAACAAGCCGTGTTTCGTCCAGGCCGCGGTTGCATCGACCAAATCTTCACGCTTCGGCAAGTTCTCGAACTTCGTCACATCCATTAGCGGCCAACAATCGTAGTGTTTTTGGACATCCGTACGGCGTTTGATTCTGTAGATAGGTCTGCGTTGTGGAACTGAAGAAAGGTGTGCCCGACAAGTTTGTAACTATCCTGAAAGAACTTTACAGTCACACGTCGGGCAAAGTCAGGGCTTACGGCACGCACTCTTCCATTTTCTGGCTGGGGTGAATGTCCTATGCATACACTTACCCCATTGTACATGTCACATCATAATCAACTCTTTTACTTTTCAGTTGATGCACCTACGTTCTTAGACCAGTAAAGCGTATACTTCCTATTCTGTGTTATCCCGTCTGTTGTGCTATCCCCGTCCAACGCATCAATTGGTTGGATCTTTTCCCGGAATTATTGTAAGTTTATTGACAATTGTCAGACCTCGTAGTTCATAATCCAAGAATTAACGGAGGTTGCTCTTGTTGTTGCTCCACTTCTTTTATAGTAGCAATAGAAGCAACTCCAATGTCATATTACCGGAGGCGCTGGTTTGTTTGCCGGTACAAGAAACAGGACGCTTGTTGGACGGGAGCCCATTTCGTCCTTGGAATTTGACCTGACCTGCTTCCCTCCATTCCGTGTGTAGGACTTTCCCCAAGATGCTAATGTGCAACGTTGATGGGCTAACTAGTACGGGAACAGCAGGGGCTTCACAACCCGTTGCTGGTGTATCTGGGTCATTCATCGAACTAACGATCGCAGTTCACATCCGGTCTTTATAGTCCATATTTTGTGGAACTGACTGGCATGCAGCACGGGTTTTTTTCTTAGCTTATGACGAATGCCATTTATGTTTCCGAAACACGCCTGCGACACATTAGCGCTTTGGCTACTCCAATTGCCTGGCTTAAAATTTATAAGCAGACCATACATTTCTCGCTTCTGATGTCGAGCTAATATCTCGGGACATTTTCGCAATCCGTATTGCACTGGATGAAGGGGGTGGATCAAGAATACGGTGGCACGAGTGATTGCTGAACAGCTTATCGAAGACTGAGTGAAGTCTAAAATGCTTTTTGGAGTCACTATCTGTTGACAGATGGGGTAAGATGCAACCTTTCTGCTAACAGCACTCCTCTACTGCGTAAGCTTTTGCTTCAAGCTGTGTTTGCCAATCGACATATGTGGATCCAGAGTGACCGCATCGTCACCAGCTGCAGCTGGTGCAATTCAGTGCACAGTTGCTAGTTGGTACGGAATGCCTTGGTGTGCGCTCGTATGGCGCTTACTTTGCCAAATGCAGCGAACCGTCATATGTCTAACTCTTTCCATCAATTAAACCCACATTCCATGGAGCAACAGTACAGATCCCAGTCGAAACACCGCCGTTTACCACTGACTAAAGTGTAGCGGGCCATATTCCCGTCGGAGTTGTCTGGTACACAAAACAGAGGGTACTATAGACTGATTGCAACATTGAACTGTCTCAGCCAAGTAATGAGTGGAGTTGGAGCTTTTACTGGTTTAGCGGAGGCAAGAAAAGAAACACCCAGAAACGGCGTTGGACTAGGATTCTCGAAGCCGTTCACGAGTGTAGGTGGATGAAAAGATAAGGAAGATAATGTGAGTGCCATAGGGGAAAATCGGCTCCATTTACACTCATACGAAGCATAGATCCACTGAATGTATCACCGAATAATGTAATATCTAAGAAAGATAGATGTTCAGTTCACTGTCGTGCTCTCGAACCCCAACGTTAGGCGGAATGTATAGAGGACCACCACAGCTAGCAAGTTGTGTCGCTCTTACCTTCCAGGTCACATGAACACTCTCGGGACGCTGATACCGCGGCCCTGTATTTCGTACGATTTTTTGACTGCCAACTTCGACATGCTTTGTCTGACGTTGTTGCGTTTATTCAGGTGAAACAACCGAGGCGTCAGTCGATGGATTAGAAGATAGACATCGGCAAAGTGATAGAGAAATTTAGTCAAACTGTTACATACCGCCTTCGTGGACGCAAGTGCGGGGACCGCCGCACAAAAGATTGAGCTCCTTATTCTTGTCAGATCATTGGCGCTCTCACCCTATGTCTGGACATCTAATCCTTATCATTCCGACTAGACTAATTTACTTTCTTAACACGTTTCGTTCTGTATCCTTTTGCAGTATTCCTCCTTTCTTTTCTCCTTAATCCTCAGTACTATAAGGACGCAAACTACAATAATCCTGTGCTCAGGTTGCAGTTTTTTAGCCGATCTAAAGTGCAATTTTGCGGCTACCAAGTTCGAAGGATTCTGACATTAACCTACATTGTTGAAGCCAAACAAAACACATATTTGAATTTTCGGGGTGCGCCCAACCTGACACACTTGATGTAAAAAAATCCGGAGGGAGCTTCATATAGAATTTGTCTCAAATCTCATGGGATGTTTCCGCCATACCCTCCAAAGATGGTCAGAAAGAAATTCAGAGGCAATCAGCCAAATCGGCAAGGCCACTATGGTACATCGTCTATACTTATGGTTTTTTTAACTAATGGAGAAGTATGAAACAACGCAGCACCCACCGAAACGAGGACCAGTTTAGATTTTACTGATCCGCTTCTCAATGATTAGTGAGCGACGGCAGTACGATGTTTGCAAGCGACTTTTCTCACCAGACGTTGTATGACTCATTTTACGACGAGGGTGAAGGAGAACGATCGCCATTCCGAAGTCTTTATTCAGTATTCCATAAACGTTGAATAAAGCAGCCGAAACAACAAGTTAGTGGATACAGTCTTCAGGTAGAACTGGATGGATATCGTCGGATCCAAGTGCCGTGTTTCACTCCAATGATGCAATTCCATTTTGGTAGACGTAAACAATCTAGGGCTTACAAGAAAGCCCACCAATTCGCTCTTCAGAAGGCCTTTCTGGCTTTATGGCGTAAACTTAGGGATGAATAAACTGTTCATCCTTCTAAAATATCATTTCACTCGTTGAGATCTTTCTTATTCACGTTTTAGGTTGAATTTGAACACGAGTCTTCTCCACTTAACAGGACCGTACCACCCACGGACTCTAAGGGTCAACCTCAAGATTACTTATGTGAGTTTTATTGTTGTACACCGCCTTAAAGTAATTGACCGATAGAATTTTCTTCCATCCTTCCATTAACAATATGGTTGTTTTCGATATTTGTCCTTAATTTCAGGTACGCAAAAACTATGTGCGAACATTCCCACCCATGCAGTGTCCAAACTTCACCCAACCCCTCCGTCTACCAGACGATGGAGGAGATGGAATTCGAGCGTGGCATTTGGGCTGCGGCAGTAGCAGGCGACATGGTAAAGCTGAAGAGAATCTTAGAAAAAGATTCCAGTAGCCTCAACGCTCGTGACAATTATGGTTACACCGCATTGGTATGTATCTACAACCTTTTTTTATCCCATCGGACCCTAATAGCATTATGCATCTCGGAATAATCATATAAATGCTTGCAAATACTTGATACACTGTGGGGCAGACTTGTATGCCCGTACGAAAGGCGATGGAGCTACAGCTGCCCATCGAGCCGCCTTTAACGGGCATCTAGACATTCTGAAGGAATTGTTGAAAGCTGGTGGTGAGCGGCTCTTAGTCATGAAGAACAATGACGGTGAGACCTGCTTAGACTCAGTAAGTTGGACACTTTTTCCAAAGTTCACTCTTCTTGATAACCACAAGCTATTGTTGGCAATTTTTGTAACAGAGTCGGTGAACAGGCTATAACGGGCCACGACATCACTCGGTTACGACTTCGTTGTAAAGCGCATTTGTCCGAAAGGCTTTCTCTGCTATTGAAAAATTAGCAGTGCTATTATGAAGAATCTACCATGGCAACGGTTTGCTTGGATTCGGAAGTAAACGAAGCAATAATGGGAAGTTTTAACAAGCTTCCGGTGACTTTCTAAGTTGTACGTGACCTATCAGCCCGGTGCCCAGTTATTGGGAGGGCCTCTCTTAACTAGTCGATCGGGGCACCTTGTGTTCTGATTGTTTTCACAAAATTTCGCTGGATAATTTCATTAGCCGGTAAGGATAATGTCCACGAACTATTCGAGACCATTTCTAATAATTTGGGAAACAAAATGAACAAGAAACAAGGGAGTCAAAGGGGTTCTACGGTTCGAATCTGCATAGGTGCGGGCGATCTCGCGTTATCGTGCAACTGTTGACGGTTGTATATCAGCGAAGTGTCGGTGCGGCGTACTGCTAATACCCCTTAAAAATAACGCAATTTTGTGATATGTATTTGTCTTGTCCTTTGCAAGCATTAAACTAGTACCCGAAGGTCTCGACTTCTGGGTTAGCCAACCACTGACACGTGGACCACACAGACAATCAAGACGTCCACAGGAGCACATGGGCAATCGGAGTGTCGTCTGGGAATCATGAAATTAGTCTTCTGTCAGCCGATCAATGAACGCACTACATTGTGACCGAGGGACAAATCGACAGGCGGGCTACACAAGTTGTTCTAAAGGGAGGATGAGCTATCGATCGTCGACGGATGCTTATTGTTGCAGGTACTAACCGGATAAATTGGCTTTGTGGAGCTTCCTTTGTCGACCAAATGTCGAGTAGGAACTGGAACAACTGGCAGTCATGTAAAAGGTGTGCATCTTCCAGTAAGGTATTCACATGGCCACTGGCAATCAAACCAAAAGCATGTACGTGCAGATTTCCTTAATCTAGCGAATGGGCAGCATTGTCTCATTATTATTGACGGCCCCAGTAAATGGTCTCTACATAAAGCGTGCAACCAGCGATGTAACGATCAACCTACTAAGGAAGGTTTTCGATCGGCATGAAGTACAATAGACGATGATCACAGACAACGGCACGCAATCCACCTCTTTGTCTTACCGGTGCTGTACTCAAAATAATATATCAATCATCACGTTTTACCCCCATTTCAATGGTACTGTATATTCGCTAAAAGTCTGTAGAATCTCTTGAATTGGTCCGTTTCCTTCAGCTTTAAGCAGAACCCTCTTGAAAGTATCCACAAATCGTTCAGCTTGCCCATTTAACTGTGGATGATAAGGAGGTGAGCGCACATGCTCCATACCGGGTAACTCACAAAATTCAGCAAAATGTGAAGTGGCAAACTGAGGTCCAAAGTCGGATACTACTGTTTCCGGAAAACCGAACCTACTGGATACTTCCCTGAGTATTGCAATCGTGACCGATGTTGATTTGTTCGACATTTGGAAGATCTCGAGCCATTTGCTGTATGCATCGATGATAAATAGGAAGTTTTGTCCTTTGATTGGCCCTGCGAAATCACGGTAAAACCTTGACCACTGGTTTCGTGGGCGTCAGCCAAGAGAACAGTTCGCATTTCCTCGGCGATTCGGCTTGTACACGAACGCGTTAGCTCCTTAAGTTGAGAATCCAGTACACGTAACTCCTTGCTAGAGCCTTCAGCCTGTTTGAGCCGGGATGTCCAGTATGAGATTGATGTAGGACTTTGGACTAAAGTTCGGCTGGGAAGACGACACGTTCTTCAAGCATGATAGGGTCACCCGGGGTAAAAATGTGTATGCGGAGATATTAAAAGCTGTATTAAATAATTGGTTGAAGTTGTATGCACATTTGTAGACTCCTGTTAAGGTTGAATGATTTTTCTAGCTACTTGGCATAATCTGACAATATTTTGCTTTTTTACTACAACACAGGAAGCTCCGCCATCTTGTTTATGGCTGCCATGTGTCTACACTAGCTGATAAAACTTCTCTGGAAAATAACTAACTGTTATACTTAGACAGATATGTACTACATATTATTTGACAATAAAGGTTTTTCTTTGAGTCGACAAATAAATCAAATTGAACTTTATATGTTTTACTTGTGTACTGATTAACTTAGACGGGGTAAAGTGGGTAGGTCTGTATTTTACAGGGAAACAGCACATTTTTACTGGCGATAATTTGCTGATGTTATTTGGAACTCTCATACTGCGTTAACTAGTATTTTTATATTGTGAGCTAATAGTTAGGCTATAGTACATGAAAAATGTGCCTATAAAGCTTTTCTTGCTTTAGGGAAACAAAACCAGCTCTGTTTCAGATTGACTTGTGAAAAATGCCGCGAAATTACAATAACAAGGTATTCACCGAAAGACTTAGAAATTGCTACAGACCTGGTTGAAAGGGAGCCACATTCCACAAAGTTTCCAAGGAGATAAAAATTCCATACGAGGCGTTACGAAGGTGAATCGTTCAATCTCCCAAATGAATTGGTTCCGGTCGGCTTAGTCTACTTTCTGTTGATGAGAAAAGGATAACTGCCCGCAGCTTGTGCTACTTAGCAGAAAGTGGTTTTTCCCGGCGATTGTGCAGACCATCATCAAATATTACATAGAATCCAACGCGTTTAAATAAATATTCTGGCCAAGGTCGGGTGCTTGGATTTCAAAAGGGAATAACACCAAGATCTGAAGGACTTTCCAAAGGGATTGTTGACGAATTATGTGGGTTAAAAGACTGCACACTTTCTTGGGATTTGTTATTGTATTATCAGACGAAGGCTTGTACACGGTGAAATGTGTGACTAAATCACTACGATTTTCCAGAAAAAGATGACATTGATGTTTTAGCTAAAAGTATCCTTAAAAAGATGCCACAACCTGCTTGCAGTAGCCGAGGACAATATACATTTGACTAGTAATATGCTGTCAGTGAAATGTTTATGCCACAGCCACCATTGATAGACACAGTAGTATTACGAGTACATGTTTTTTGCAAAATTATCATAACTTTTGTCAGTATTATGATCTTGTATAAAACTTTTGACAAAAGCAAGGTCTGAAGGACTTTTCAAGGGGCTTGTTAATGAATTCTTTAAAAGGTATGAAAAAAGTGCTGACCGAAAGTGACCTAATTGACAAGCCTCTTTGAATTATTAATCTCGATGAAGCAGATTTAGTAACAGATCACACAGCTACAAAAGTGTTCGTACAAGTGCCGTCACGCAATGTCTATTACAAATCAGCATGCGCGGGTAAAATCAATTTCAGTTTCTGTTTGGAAGGTCAATTTTGGACTACACGTTGTGATTGGATTGCGACGCGCAATCTCAATGTGGACCGCGCTTCACATTGAAGTGAACCTTGGTCACTGCGATCATTGGCGGGCAACACCCAATTTCCATCAATTCCAGTGTCTTTTTCTGCGTTTCAGCCACTCTATGTTATCTTCTCCCTTTTATCATCTATAAAGGGTTACATCTTTAATCGATCCTGGGATCACGCTCTGGCGTTACGAAATCAGGATAGATGGAGGACTCCGCTTTGAATCCTGGTCCATGCACTTTATTCAACTGGTAGCACAAGTGGAGAAGCCAATTGTGCTTATTCATGATGAATATGGCAGCCACCTTACGAGACAATAAAGTTGGCAATGGAAAACAACATAATACTAATATGTTTGCCACCAAACACTAGTCATGCACCAACTATTTAACGACGGTGTCTTTAAACCCTTAAAGTTGGCCTGTATGTCTATTATGAGGATGTGGTTTTGAGAAAGCAGAATCCAAAAAGTGAGCAAGGGAATTTTTCCTTCTCTGCTTAAACAGCTATTCGACCGATTGCTACAGAAAAATGTTATCAGTGGATTCAGAGGCAGTGGGCTCTATTCAGTTAGTGAAGAAGCAATTCAGCACAGAATTCTAACTTCTCTGCATACTACTCAGGCTGTTATTCCGGTTCTAGCAGCAGTGGAACCAGAAAAACAAAGAAATATAGTTGATGATGATCAAACAAGCACTTTTGATACGCACAGCCTGCTTCGAATACTGTTGGACTATCAACATTTAAAGTTTTACGGCAAGCAATAATAAAGACGGTTTCACCGAGGTGTTCGCCCATAAACTTTGAAGCCATAGACAATGCTCGAAAAAAGAAAGAGATTTGAGGCAATTCCTGGGGACGTATTAACAGCCAAGTTTCTTAATGAAGAAAAGGAAAGAGCTAATAAATCGAAGAAGACAAGTTCAAAGATTGCCAATTCCATCCTAAACTTCCTGACAGATGTGGAGCAGACGACTGGAGAAAGTACTCAAATGAGCAAAAATGGATACGGGCAATATCATCATTCGGGACTTGTTTTTCGTTAAATGTGAAGGTAAACTGACTGCACACGTCCTTGGGTTTCTTTTATTGAAATATCAGACAAAGACTTGTACACAGTGAAATTTTTGACAAAATCATTGGTTGGGTCCTACTACATTTTTCCAGAGAAAGATGAAATCGATGATGTTTCAGCTAAAAGTATCCTTAAAAAGATGCCACAACCTGCTTCCAGTAGCCGAGAACAATATACATTTGACTAGTAATATGCTGTCAGTGAAATGTTTATGCCACTGCCACCATTGATAGACACAGTAGTATCACTAGTACATGTCTTGGCAATAACACTGTTTCCAAAAAGTATCCTGATATCATACGTTTTGTCAACATAATTTTGTTCATATTAGATTCATTATCTTGCTGTATAAAACGATATACCCACTTTACCCCGGGGTGTGCCCATTTCTCCCTCGTCATGGGGTAAAATAGGTATACTATGGTGGAAAATGGGTATAGGGTCTAACTCAATACTTTAACGACAAAAATAAATTCATCGACCTGCTTATGCGTGGTTATAAGTTCGTAGATCAACCCCCTAGATTCACGGAGAATAAGACTCAATTCCTCTTGAATCTGGTCAGCCGACGTTGTTAGAGACCTTGTTTATTGTCCCCCCCCTAGGAGCCAGCGACCACGCTTGCCTGCCATCCAGCTGTGCCCTTATTAGGGATTGTAAAGGACTCGACACAAAAAGTCCAAATATCTGGCATGTTGACTTCCAAGCAATTAGAGTTAAAGCAACAAGTTCCCCTGCGTCATTTCGCCAGCAAGCTTGGGATCGATTTAAATCCTACATCCCCGATATTTCTCTTTCCCACTTTCCTTTATCAGTCAGAAAGATGATGAGGGCAAAGCCACCATGGTTCGACTCAGTCGGGCGTCAATTGCTCAACAAACAAGACATGTGTTAGTGGACCTATTTGTCAACACCCTCGGATGACACTCTTAGGCGCTATTGTGAAGTGCGAAGTCTTTGCAAGTGTCATGTACGAGCCGTTTGGCTCCGTTATGAAATGGAGCTGGCTAATCCAGCCTCTTCGAATCCAAAAGAACCAACGTTTATGTTAAAATGTGCCGCAGATTAAATCCGTCCGTGCTCAGAGTCGACAGCACTAATGCACACACGGATCATGACAAGGCCTGCGTTCTCGTTGAATAGTATGCTGATAGATTTGTCTGAGAGACCAATTTACCGCCTTGATAGTTCTACAAGACTCATTTCCAAATGAGCCGGCCCCTAGCCTAGAAGTAACGAGCTTGTCTCGTAATCGAGCCTGCGTAGGGGCAAGGTGATCCTCACAGTATCCTTAACTCACGTACCACCGGTGGTGGTTCCGCGCCAGCGAAGCGTCGGTGATGTCTTTCTTTCTTATTTCCAACTGGTATTTATGTGTCCGAGACTCAAGTTCTCCTTCTTTTAAGAAAGATAAATCCTAGTAAAGCTGCTGGTGGGGATGCAATTCACCCTTAAGTATAACAACCTTGCCTTGTAATAGTAGAGCACGGATTCAAGCCTGCGCAGGGACCGGGCGACGCTCGCAATATCCTTAGCCTACTGGTGGTGGTTGCGCGGCAGCGAAGCGTCGGTACCGCGTACCGGCGTGCTGCGGACTTCTTTTTGTACGTGCCTCGTTGAGTCTCCTCTACGCTACTGCACGCCACACAATTACGTACTAATGATGTTAGCAGTCGAGGTGACGGAAAGTTTGCGACAAAATTGCCAAGCTCAGGGAACAGTTCAACCGCCATGTACTCAGGGTGTTTAGGTTTTGCACCAGATCCCTTCTCCTCTTGTTCCTACTTTTCTAAATGTGGCAGGTAAGCATCGGTTCGCATTACTGGTGCACTGCTGTTGATGATGATGTGATGCTCTGCAAAAAGTGACATACTATTTTCCATTCCCTCACAGGCCTTTCGCGGAAAACAATGGGAAGTAGTTCAGTGGCTATCAAACTGCCATCCATCGTTGAAGATTCCAGTGACCGATTGACTTTCGACCGCATGTCCTCAGCGTGCATCTGATTGCTCTCAAACACGCCATAGAGAAGCAGTATGCCTCGCCGCAAACAGCCCTTGGTGTTCCGGATATAAACTGGTCCCTGAACCGTCATGACTTCATTTTTTATCCGCAACCGTATCGAGGTGGTAATAAGAAGGCACGTCTGCTTACTGTTCTTACTAATTTTTTTTAATTAAATACAAAACCTTAAGTCACGTTATGAAGAACCTTCCTAGGGTCAAAAGCTGCAGAGCATGCAAGGTTGTGGTTTCTCAAGCACATTATAAACGTAGATACAACCTCTCCAGAGCAAAATATCACACAACCCAAAGCGGCGATCGGGTACCGTTTATTATAATCGAAAGAGGAACAGAGCGGTACATAATTCAGTAGCCTAGATAGCTAAGCCGAACACGGTCACTATAAAGTACATGGACTTGTTTTCCCACTTCACGGTGCAGCTACCTGAAAAAAGTAAAGAGGTTTTAAAGCATTGGCACCAAATAAACTATTCACAAAAGTCAAAATTAACGTCTCATTTCAAAACATGCCTCGATACAATGTAATGCCATTGGTGCTAACGCCAAGAGTAGACAAATTGTCTGGAAACTAAGTGAACAAAAGTGGCATTTCATGTGATTGAGAGCTGCGGCGCCAAATGAGCTCAAGCACATGAAGAGGAAGTTTCACCAGAGCAACAACTTTCGGTTTGATACTGAAAGTAACCACGACAGATTGTTAGGAAGCTTATATTACAGATGGAATCAGCGTTCGAAATGGGCGTTTACTGACGAACTTTGTTACGTCATACCGAGGTACTCCTCGTTTGATCACACTCCCATGTTCCCCATTATTGCTAATCATTAATTTTCACAACCAACACCGGTGCTTAGTGTTACGATGATGAATGGCAGACACAAAATTCATCCACTACGCTCCCATGTCCAAAATATAACGCACTGCGCTGCTGGTTGCATTACCGGAAAGAAGCGTGACAGGTACACTAATCTGCGAATGCGTGTCGTATAGACGCGATGTCCAAGATAGGATTGTATTTGAATCCAGTTCCTATAGGCAGAATACAAATGAGTGAATTCGTTATAACAAATCTTGCGGTTGCGTTTCGACCTGGCGACAAGTGCTTGTACTCGCTTTCGGAAATCAATATCGCACGAGTAGGAGTCTCGGATTATCTATCATGCTATAGTGTGAAACGTCGCAAACGAAGCACGATGGATATGGGCGGATCACTTATCATGGTGTTGGCAGGGTATGTGGACACTACCGACATCAATCACCGTTCGTTTTTGTTAAGGACTGTTAGCCTCTCGAAACGTGTATGCCTCCAGACTTGTTTGCGCTTGTGCTCCTTTGTTGCACTGAATTAAGTGGAATGAAATTATAAGTGGGTCATCTAGTGGCTTTCATTCTACACGCCAGCTGGAGGTGAGAAATATCTCAGCTATTGTGCCGACATTCAACACAGTAACATATTTTAAGTAGGAAAATAACAAATAGTAAAATGTATCAGGTAGAGACAAGCAACAGCATTCCTTTTTATTGTTGTGCATTAAGTGCGAGATCGTGGTTGGAGGGGGAAGATAATCGGGAGGGTTTGGGACTAAGAAACTTGCAACAAAAACGCCATTGAGGTCGGCTCTTCTATGTCAACAAGTGTATTCAAGTACAAGTGTTCATCGTTCTCAGGACTCAAGTCTCGCAGTCAGAAAGCACCAGCCAACGCTAATTGTGAAGCCAGCGTCTTCATTCCTCTTGACCAAATCTTTGTTTGACTTCTCTTTCTTTTCCTCTATCCAAATCCTAGTCGCGCAGGCAATGCACGTCGCGGGAGGTGGTGTGCTGACATGCGCAACACGTGGCCCAGCCATGGGAGCCTCATGCGTGCTTTAACTGCCCGAGCAGTTCACTCCCTCTTCCTGCACCAAACCTATGACGCCGAGCACGCTCATTGCTCAAGCAGCGTTTCCACCAGTTATGAGCTAAACTGCAAAAGCCCCGGTTGTCGAACGCAACCAGCCTTTTTGCGTCTGTCGATTTGATGGGTCCGGTTTCACAACCGTACAGAGGAGTTTAACGCATAGCTTCGTTGTAAACTCTGTTCTTCATGATGAGTGATGAAGTTAAGCAAAGACACCTCGAACCTTGGCTTTACGGTTAGTGATCTCATCTGTTCCGCAGATGCTGATGCAGCTGACCAAGTAGTTGAATTACTGAGCGACTTCCATTTGATTCCCACCGTGTGTCAATGCAGGGGACAGAAAACTTTGAATTTCAAAGGTGAGAAGCAAAGACTGAAACAGTTGACAGCCAGTGCTACTAGACACGTTTAGGAGCTGTCACATATTGGGGCAATATCATATGCATCACTCCAAGTCAAGAAGCCGATCACCCTTGAGTAACTTCACACCTTCCAAGTTGTCTCCAGTTAACTGTTTTCATGATTTTGTCGATGGTGAAGTTAAAAAAGGAAGATGGCAAATATGACTGGAGATATTGGAGGGTTGCAACAGGTTGTCACAAGCCCTCACACGGCCCGAACCAAGGTACGGCGATCTTATGTCATATACATAACTACCAGGCACAGCTTTCTTTAGCAGATATCCCAAAGGGCACATCAATCCACCAAACGGAAGGAATCTTTGATGTTTCGGAACACGAACTTTAGGCATACCAGAAGACGCGTAGCCACCTGGCGTTCTCCTTCACTAACGCAAGCGTGATCACAAATATATCATATTTCAATCAACTTTAGATGGCGAGGCAGCATCCGGGGTTGTAGATCGATTTGTTCGACGTACCCCGATTCAGATCATGCTTTGGTCTGCGCGGACATCTGCATGCATTCGGCGGCTCCTCAAAACGAAAGCTCCATAAACTCGACACCAACAAGTTAGCTGACCTCTACTCGATCAACTTATCAAGCTTTAGTATCGCATACATTCATTGTTCCTCCACCTCGAGACATCGAAAATCATTGGAGTTTTGCGTGAAGCGATGCCAACTTCCAGTTATTCAATCTGCGGGATCGCAAGGGGGCTAGATTTCCGCACACTCACTGGAATTGTTTGATCGTCGTAGAGCTATCACGGATGATTCAAATAGCATTGCATTGCGTCGCATTCTCAGCCAACAATTTGAGCAAAGCCTGCGTGCTGATCGCGAAACCTAGTGGTCCCAACACACCTCAGGAGCCCTCTCTGGAAACTTTCGCAAGCTCTTCCAGGTCATTCGGGTCACTGGTCACAAAAGACCTGGTGTCAGTGAAGACGTTTGCGACTTACACAGACGTATGGACCGCTGGACTGAACACTTCCGCACTCAATTCAGCTGGTCTCCTCCGCCGGCGGGTCTAATGAGTACACCTAGTTGCGCGCCTTAGAACGTCTCATTGGAACCACCCACTGAAGCTGAGGTCTGTCTTGAGATCGCACACTAGAAGTGATTCAAGTCTGCTGGCCCGGACGAGCTTCCTGCAGAGCTGTTCAAGTTCGGAGGCGAAGTAATTGTCAACCACTTAACAGCTCTGTTCTCTAAGATCTGGTGAAGCGAGTCAATTAACGTCCCGATCTTCAAGAAAGGTGCTCGTACCCTATGCGCTAGCCACCGAGGAATCAGTCTAATGTCCGTTGCTTCCAAGCTGTTAACATCCATTCTACTCCACAGACTAACCCCGATTCGAGAATTGCACTCCCGTGAAGAACTGGCTGGTTTCCGCCCCGGTCGAGGGCGTATAGATCACTTGTTTACGCTCCGCCAACTCCTTGAAACGCGTCATCTTTACCGCCAGCCCACTATCGTTGCTTTTCTGGACATTCAAGACGCTTTCGACTCCGTCGATCGGCCAACTTTATAGCGTTGCCTACAAAAGAATGGAGTACCCGAAAAGTATATCGCCATGCTTCGAGCACTATAGTGCAACGTCTCAGGTAAAGTGACGGCTTATGGTAAGCTCTCTTCACCTTTTGCCGTCACTAGCGGTGTATAGCAAGGTTGCCCCCTGTCCGCGTTTCTCTTCAATTTTGCGATCGAGGATGTCCTTTTAAGCGCTCTCGAGGGTTTTCAGGTTTCTGGTGCAGAGCTTCTTCCTGGCAACCACGTAACCGATTTATATTATGCTGACGATATTGCCTTGCTTGGTGATGACGCACAGAGCTCACAGTTCGTTCTAAACCGCTTGGCGATTGAAGCATCAAAATATGGAATGACCTTTACCTTTACGAAATGCAGTCCTGATCCCTGGATCAGCATCCACCTGCCCCAGTGCCCACTCTTCAAGGTACGCAGCCTGAACACTTGGACAACTATGTTTACCTGGGAAGCTGTGTTTCTGCTAATGGTAGTATCGGAAAAAAGATCTCTCTCCGCAATGCCAAAGCCCGTTCGTCAACATGAGGCATCTGTGGCGACGTTTCACTATTGGTAAAGGGCACAGTGTACAATGCCTGTGTTCGCACGGTGCTGTTGTATGGGAGTGAGTCCCGGCCGATTCGTGTGAATGACTTGCGTCGGATTTCGGCCTTTGACAATGGATGTCTGCAGAGAATAGCCCGAGTGTGGTGGATGAACCACGTGCGCAACGATGATGTTAGACTTCGCTTCTTGAGTAAAACGGGACTTCCATTTGACAGACTAGTATCGCTGTGCCAACTAAGATGGCCGGGCCACATTTTACGACGCCATGCGAACGGCTACCCCGACGCGCTCTCTTCGTTCGCAAAGGAATAGGCTGGAAGAAATCGCGCGGTGGCCACCCTAACATGTGGCGAAAAACGATTACAGCGCTAGCTTCCAGTTTAGCTGCCGTAGGTCTCGTGCGTCTTCCCGGCTGGACTATCAAAGATGAAGAACACCGTTGGCTGGAAACTCTTTCGGAGATTGCGCAGAACCGGGCCCGGTGGAAAATGTGTACATATGTTTGTCTTGATTTACATCGCAAACGTTAGACAAAAAAGATAAAACGGCGTGTGAAAAACAAAACAAAAAAGAAAGGACATAATTCGAAAACAAAAAACGTTTTTGCAACCTTCATTCTTTTCTCTGTGGTCTCTGTATGTATTATGGAAGCAGATGTTGGTAGCTCAGTTGGTGGTCTGAGTGTTCGCTGAGCTCGGCAGGTTGACTGCAAACGTTTCGTCACCACTCGAGGTGACATCGTCAGTGCGCGTGTATTTAGCAGAGTGGCGCGTACGAAGCGTCAGTGAGTGTTAGCCGCTAGTCTGAGTTTGGATTGTTCGACAGGCACATGACTATCGAAATCGATCTCTGATTCTCACCCCGTAATGTACGCGCGCGTGACTCTTCGGTTGTCGTCGTGTGATGCAGTAGTCTGGCGTTCCGTTCCGTTAGATTTATTCTACTAATTCGAGAATCTTTCATCCGTAGTGCTGTATATATAGCATCTATTTCAACGTGTCGGTTTATTGAATTGTCGGTAGAATACCATG